GTAAGTGTACTGCAAAAAAAAAACCCAAAGGATTGAAGGTTGTTTTGCTCTTAAATAGTGCTCTGTATAGGTTCATCTGTTCTACATCTATTTTTATGTAATAAATGCTAAATGAATGATAAGTTTAGCTCTAGTCATAATTATATTTTCTTATTTTTAAAAGTATAGCAGATTTAAAACAAAAAGAAAAAAGCCTTGGCTAATCTGTGTTTCATAGTTATGTGCACTCTTTGGTAACTTGGCTGTCTGCCTGAGGGACCATATTTCAGGCACTGCTGTCCATCTGGTGGGAACTTGTCCGATTTCGAGACAGGACCTAGTCATCTCGGAAAGGCAGGTCGTACAGCATCCAAAACTTATGAAATGACCGCTGGTATGGCAGGTGATCTCCCTTTCTAAATTAAGTAATTTGACACAAAGAATTGTGGTTTCTTATCATTCGTGACTCTCTGTTGGTATGGGGTATTGATGAACAGTATTGGCCAATTGACAGGATTAAAAGTTGCATTTAAGTTCCAAGAGCAGGGCAACTTTAAATTTAATATTAAAACAAATAATTCACCTTACCCTGAGGGATTCCAATGACATGAAGCATGGTGAAGCTCTCTGGGTGGCTCTGTCTCAATACAGGGAAGCTTGAGTTGCTCAAAATCAACCTCTCACAAATGACAGATGCAAGCTGCTGATCCTTCCTGGTTTACTCCAGAGGGTAGTGTTCTAGCCACTGCACCACACTGCTGGCATTTACAGATTTTCAAAAGGCTTTGTTCCTATTTAAAGATATAAATGGAGATTATGTTTTTAGATCAGACAACCTAGAAATTTTTGCCCAGTCGTTATTTTACACCATTTAGTAACAGAGACTTTGAGGCCAAGTCTGGGTTTTAATCCCAGTTGCCCACTTGTGAACTTTCCAAAAGTAAAGTTACTTCACTCCATTTCACAGGCTAATGCTGTAAAGATTAAATGAGGTACCAATTCCTATAAACCCTGCAATGCAGGGCAAACCATAAGTAATCACTTAGTAAATGGTGACCCTTTTGTAGCTAAAATTCTGAAATATTTCTGTGCACAATTTTTAAAGCATCCTGGAACTTACAGTCTCCTGGATGAGACATAAATAACTAAAATACTAGTGATATGTACTAAAGAGAAGAAAGAAAGTAGAGAAGGGGGATATAAAATACTGGGGGAAGTTGACATTCTAGGTAGGGTGAACAGGTAAGAACTCAACAAGAGGGTTAGAGTAAACACCTGAAGAAAAAGAAGATGCAATCTGTGTGAATGTCTAAGGGAAGAGCATTTCATTCAGTGGGAACAGCAAGTGCAAAGGCCCTGAGGCAACAGAGCACATGGCATGTACAAGGACTGCACAGAGAAGATAGTGTGGCTAGAGTTGAAACAATGTTAAGAGATAGAATAGTAGGAGATGGGTTCAGAGATAGCAGTGGGCCAGTTCATAGATCATGTAGGGTCTTGCAGATCACAGTAAGAATGTTGGAGGGTTTGAGCAGAAGAGCAACATTTTAGAAAGATCCCTCTGGCTGCTGTGTTGAGAAATTAGCCTGTGAGATGGAGAACAATAAAAGAGGTAGTTAAGAAAGGCAGAAGCATGGAAACCAGTGAAGAGGACAAGGAAATAGTCCAGAGTTACAATATCCATTTTAATATATAATTACATTTTAATGTAATTATATATTCTGCCATTGAGATGCAGGAGATTTTTCCTATGTCCCTAAATACTGGGAGGGATGGGAGTCGGATCATTCTAGAAGTCACCATCCTAGTTTTTAAATTTTTCTTCAGTAGGTTTGTGGCACTGAATAACAGTCACTCACATTTGCATATAACTTATGCACTGTTTGGGACATTTTCTTGCAAATGATGGGGCAAGTTATAAAATAGATTATCTTTGTCAGTTGTGTACTCTAACTGTCCCCAGTGATCATCCCATGGCAACGAGGAGGCTAAACTGAAGTACTGTTTCACTGTGAGAGTTATTAATTCTGACATGATCAGTCAAGTACAAGAAAAGTAGGTTACTAGGGCAGATGAGCACCAGTGAGATGCATATAAACCGTAAAACAGTGCCTCACCATCTCTCAGGCAGACTTCACACAGAAAAGGGAACCCTCTCTGTAGGATGTCACTGTGCTATTTTTTTCTCCATCAAGGTGCAGCTTTACTTTTATTTGTTTTAAACCTTTTTGGTTAGGATTTGTTTTCTTATGGCCTTTCAAAATTTGTGCTATATAGCAGGGTTGCCTGAAAAATTATTTCTGTTGGTATATCAGAAAATTGGAGTGACTTTCTCATTCATTAGACTGAGATTCAATCTTAGACATGTGACCTTTACACAAACTGTCATGACCTTCTCAAATAAAATTAGTTGTAATTTATTTGTGTGTATGTAGGTCTGCACCTTAAGGGAAGAGACTATACATTATAAATCAAAATTTAATAAGATTGTTACAACTGCAAAAAGGCTAGAAAAAATTGATTTACATCAGAATGGCTTAGTGGTAGCCATTTTTGGCTTAGCAGCAAGATTTGCTTTGATTTTCTTTCAGGAATCTATAGGAGTTGTAATCATTTTAACAGAATCAGATGAAACGTGAATGGATATGGTATAGTTTAGTATCCTAATCAGATGTCAGTAACATTTTTATTATAAATTTAGTGTATTTATTTGTCAGCTTAATTAGAAACATTTCACATTTTCCTTAAGTGGAAAAGAAATTAAGTTATCACTTTACATGTTTTATGTACTAAGAATGTAAAGTCAAAATATACTGAGATATTTAGTAATGATTTATTTTATATTTTTTATTTCCACAGTGCCTTTATTATAGTTGATCTCCTTTCAGTAAAAGAAAATAATTGGATACCTGTCAGTTCATGATTTTGCTTTCCTAAAGTCAAATTTAGATCACCACCACCTCTGTATCCATGATATTTAACAGTTACAGACAATACAGATGTCATTAGATCCTAAGCGTACCTCTTGTGGGATTCAGGAGATTGGCATATTGTTCCATTTTACAGCAAAGAAAACTTCAGAGTTTCGGAACAGCCTCGAGGTCACTTGACTGTAAGGAATTAAGTGTGTAGACTCAGGTCTTTGGATTCCTAGCGTAGAACCCTCTCACTCACACCAAACTACGTTTACTAGCTCTTGGGGAGTCGTTTTCAGATTTGTGACGTGCTGGAGTTGTAGAATAAATGTAGATATTTTTCAGCAAGATTAATTCAATAGCAGTAAACAGTGTTCTTCTAAGTGTTTGAGATTCCTAACCGAAACATTTCTGTACATTTCTTACCAATGTCCTCTTAGAAACTTGAGTTAAGTCCAAAAAGGCATCTGCACCTGTTTTTCAATGATAGATAAATCCTCACAAACAAAGAGCACAGGGCATAATTCCCTTTGGAGAAAGTTCAAATACAGGCAAACAAAGCTGTGGTGTGAGAAGTTATCTTTGCCCCGGGACATATGGTTGCGATGGGGGCAGGGGGTTTGAATTGACCTGGTTTGCTGTTTAAAACAGGTGTTCCTTTGAGAAGTTTCATTGACTTTTTACTTTTTTTTTTCTTTAATGGACTCCCAACAGCAAGCTGCATGTTCTCAAACACGGCATGTACTACCATAACTTGTTTCAGAGAGGCTAGAGAAATTTTTGACGTTCTAGAAACCTCTCCCCCTTTTAATTTTTCAATTAACTTGTTATTAAAATGTAGTTGATATACTATATTACATTAGTTTCAGTTTTACAACTTAGTGATTTGACAATTGCAGATATTACAAAATGCTCCCCATGAAAGGTGTAATTGCCACCTGTCACCATACAAAGTTACTAAATATTATCAGTTATACTTCCTATGTTGTTTTTTTCATCCCTGTATCTTATTTATTTTATAATTGAAAGTTTATACCTATTATCCCCTTTTTATTCTTAAGTAAAATCTTTTTAAATGCGTTATTTTCACAGGTGGTAGTTTGAATGTTTTTATCTTGAAGAACAGTTCTTTGACATTTGTTGCGTACTATAAACTGTCACTCCCAAAAGGCAGCTACCCTTTCTGTTGTTGTTCCTGAGCACGTTATGGTTTGTTTGTTTGTTTGTTTGTGAGTTCTTGGAGTTTCCTTGTCATAGAAGCTCCAAGACTGTCTGTGGGACCCTGGTAAAGCCCATCATAAAATGCTTGCCCAACCAACTTTCTTGCTTTTGCTTTTTAAGATGTTATGGGAACTCCAAGACTGTCTGTGGGACCCTGGTAAAGCCCATCATAAAATGCTTGCCCAACCAACTTTCTTGCTTTTGCTTTTTAAGATGTTATGGGAAGAAAGGCATTGAAGAAGGGCTTTCCAGTTGGGATGTTAATCTATATCAAAACAGACACTGCCAAGAAATGTTTTCATGGAATTCTGATAAGGCTCAGAGGAGAGCTTTCAATCAGCTTCTTATAATTTAAAAATTTCACACTGATTTTCTTTTCATATAAATGGTTTCTGAAGAGCACAACTAGTTGAGCAATAGCTTTATCATTTCAGAAATGTTTCTTGAGGTCAGAGCTTGAAGGAAATGAGATTGAAGCTAGAAATTACTTTGAACAAAATGAAATTTTAATAAAAATGGAAACCAATGGCCACAGCCGTGATATTTCTCTGGGCTTCTAGTGTTAAACAAAATCCATATGCTTTCTGACCACAGTAAATACAGGAAGAACAAGAAGAGCTTAAACAAGATCTGTGGATCGGCAAAACCTTTTGCAGGCCTCATGGTTTAGAGACAAAGGCCAGTGTTAATCATATATATCATGGGTCATGTCCAAGACGAGGAATAGTTTTCTTGTAAATCATTGCTTCTGTTCTTTAAAAATGACTGGTTTTTAAAAATGTTTAGCCTTCAGTCAGTTTGATTTTTTTTAAATAAGTATATTTGTAAATGTTTTTGCTAGCTCTTTACACACTATGGCTTCTTCTCACTGTTTTTTCCCTGCAGTGCTCTATTTTTTTGTCTGAAGAAGAAAGACCCATTTCCAGCAGGAGACCTAAAACGCCAACCTCAAGTGAATTCTCTGACCTTAATACTCAAACAAACTGGACCAAGTCACTTCCCCTGCCGACACCAGAAGAGAAGATGCGGCAGCAAGCCCAAACAGTCCAGGCTGATGTGGTTCCTATTAACATCACGGGTATGCTCTGCTGGGCAGATCCCAGATGTGTTTGGGAGAATGACTGGCTTTTGTTTGTTGTATGCTCTTAGCATTTCATTTATAAATCAAAGGTAAATAGATGCAGTCTGGCTTCCTTCTCTAACTAAAGGCTGATGTCAAACAACTCAGTGGTCTAGCCATTCATCTCAAGTGCGTGTCTTTTTAAATTGAATTGCTTTTAAAAAGTATTTTGTTTATATGGTAACATCTTCTAAATATGATCCCAGGTAAGAAAAAAAATGTTTCCCTCCTAAAAGCCTATTTTATGTAATATTTATAGAAGTGAGGATGTAAGGTCTGTGAGATTTTTGAATGGTAGATTTCCTCATCTTGTTTTCTCAAATAGAAAAGGGGAAAAATTACTTTAAAATATCAAGCAAATTAACAGTATTAACTATAAAAATATTTTTTAAAGACTTAATAGGATGGTAAGATTATATTTTTGTCTCCATAATTTGAATTCTATGATCTTGAAATAAAAATATATTCCTTCTGAATATAAAATTTTTAGAATATGTTACTTTAAGCTGGAGTATGAATATTAGTTGCCAAATGTGAAATTCAAGTTCTTATGGAATATTATGCTCAGGTTTGAATCATCTGTGATAATAAAGAGTCAGAAAAAAATAAGGTATGTAAAGCTCAAAGATGGTATTTCACAAACAGGATAGTTGCTAAAAGATGCCAAAATTTTCCTGCTTTATCACCTTCATAGCCCACAAAGAGGATAGGTCAGTGTTCGGGGAATGTAAAAAGTATAAAATAGACATGTTAAGAGCTAATAACTTCAACCATTGGGCTGTGTGTTCAAGAGAAATAGATTGCTAATATTCATCTAATAGTCTAATGACTAGTACTAATGTTCATCATTGATAATCAGTCTGTACAAAACATGGCCTGTAGGGCCAGATCTTTATAAAATCATGTGACCAATAAGGATGAGTTTTCATTAAAAAATCAGGATGAAAACCCAGAGCACCTTTGCTGTACTTCTGAGGCTACTGCTGTTGACTGCTGTTAGATTTTTTGCCATGGCATAGGTGAGCTTATAAAGGACTAGTAGCATTTTGATAGTTACTAAAAAATATTTTTAAAACCTTACCAGACATTTAAAAATTACAGCTAGAACTCTATTTTGAATTCTGGAGAAATTTAGTAAATGTATCAGTTGTATCAGTTGTTTTTAAATCTGTACATTTTTCCACTTTTATTGTACTTAAGCCTTACAGGAATACTATTGCATTTTATTCCACTTCCTTTGCAGATAACATTGCTGATCTTTCTTAATGTGATTCTCATTCACTCAGATCATATTTTTTAAAGATTATTTTTATAAGTAGTTATGTTTCAGAACAAGTTTATTGCTTGATGAAATACATGGGTGCATATTTTCCATAAGAAAATACATTACATTATTTGATTGATTATATGCAGCAGAAATGTAGTTACATTGGCTAGATTAAATGCCTCAGAAATGGTATAGTAAGATGAGAAGATTATGCTATGAAATATGACAATCCTTAATAGAATCAGGATAAAATGCACTGTCATGAGATTAGGAAATTTAAAATAGAGTAACTAGAGTTTCAGAAATAAAGAATTATTTGCAATGAAATACATTGTTATAATAGACAGTATCATTTCTTTGAACTTTATGTCTCTCCTGATGAATAAGTCAATATGAATTATACAGAGTTTAAAAGGAGGCTTCAAAATGCCACTCAGAAAAGGTAAATGACAATAAAGAAATGAGCAATGTAAGTTATGTCAAAATACAATTTACTTTTAATCCAATAACTAACATTTTCAGAAATGTAGAAATTAAATATAATAACCTAATTACATATTTGTCAATCCCTTTTCTGGATCTGTGTGTTCACATATACATACATGTATTTCATAAAGAGACTTTTTTTCCTAATATTCTGGTATAAGGAAGCATTAAATTTAAAATTTTCACTTTCAGTGATCAAATTGACATAGCTTATGCAGCTTCCTGCTCTTTAAATGGTATATTTCTAAAGCCCTCAAAGCTTGTTGAGATAAAAGTAACCTCCAGTAGGGAATTGTTATGTGTTCCTTTATTTGGGTGAACATTGACCCTCTAGTTTGATTTTCAGTAAGGCTCAGCAGGGGAAATGTCGATTTATTTCCAATCTAGAGTAAATCCCGGTAGGCATGGAGGTATAGAACATTAGCACAGTGAGCTGCCAGCTTGGAAATAGCTTGAATCTTTGTAGTCATAGTAGGGCCTCATCGTGTTATAAGAGTTGAGGAGGAAAAAAAACATTTTAAATAAAATATACATATGAATATGTTCCATAATCTGTCATGTGGGATGACAGTTCTTTCACCTAGAAGAAATAGGGTGGGTAAGCATACTTAAAACAGTTTTTACAAACTGGCTTTGTGCTGATGTTTGAGCTAGCTAAGTTTATTTCTTAGTATATCCAAGACTAACTCATGTCATTTTTCAATGCAAGGGAGTGATTCAGTTGCTCTCAATTCAACAGATATTTACTGAACAAGTACTTTGTGTCAGGCATTGAGCTGAGTGCCACAGGGTATGCTAAAGTACATGAATTATGGTCCCTACCCTCAAAAAATATATATAGCCCAGCAGGGGAGACAGACCTTTTAGATCATGATGCAGGATGGAGAATTTGGTGCCTTAGATGCTGTGTCTTAGATATCCATCCTCGTGCTTTGTTTCTTAATTTCCCTGGAGCTTGGGTGGTTCATCTTTTGTTTTTGCTTAGGAAGAGAAACTGAAGATTAAATGCAACTCTATTAATGTTTTGTCCATTCTTAATGTCTTGATGTAAGGAATATTTTTTCATGTGCTGCAGGGCACTCATGAACCTTTGAAGTCATGATTTGCCCTTTCCAAGTGCCATATGTGCTATTATACATAATGACCCATTTATCACAGTGATGGTACTTTCTAGTGTTTCAAGGTCTCTCAATCATTTCTGTTTTTCTCCATTAGGAACAAAGTTGCAAGCATTTTCAGGTTTACAAATGTTTATTTAACTTAGAGCCTTAGCAGGTGAAATGGATTTAATCATTCAGATCTTTTATCCTGTTTTGATTAGATACCATTCTCTTCAAAATTTATTCCAGTTTAAATAGAAGGTACATTATTCACAATATACCCACTTTGAATAAGTGTCTATTGCTAAAAAGAGTGAATGTTCTTATAACTTGTCTTACAACAGAAGACTGATGGGAAGTATATACTTTGTGTGCATATATTTATTTTTAAGATCTCTTTTTCAGGAGGATACCCATTTAACAAGGTCAATACCAATTTAATTAAGTTGGCAAGTAATTTAAAGCAAACCAGTCAATAACTGATACTTGATTATATCATGGTTTCCCATGGTGGGTTAATCACTCTAGAAAGAAAGAAGAGAGCTCTGTGGATGTGGCATTCCAGGGTTGATGGCAGCATTACCTGGAATACCAGATTAAAGTCAAACTTTACAAAGTGATTATGAAACAGAGAGAAGCGGCTCAGCTTTAGTTACAGCAGTGCTACTGAGTCTCATTGTGATAAAAGTACTTTCTCATTATAAGGCTTATTGTTTTTCATTGTAGCTGTGTCTCACACCATAGCAGTTACCAGAGCCTATCCAAATTGTCCACCTCCTTGATTAAAAGAAAAAGCTCTTCATCTAAGAATTCTTGATTATATGTTTCATCACATAGGAGACGACATTATATTGTGTCTGGAATTGATCAGAAGAATAAAATATATTCACTGCTGTCACCACATGCATGCTGATATAAAGAGTGATTTTTGTGACCAGAGGGCCTGTGTGAAACACTTCAAGATAATCCCTTTTTTAAAGAACACAGAGTCACTCTTTTCAGTGTGTTATTCTCCAGTTTGCATTTGCCACTCCAGCCCATTTGGAAATGAGATGAAGTTGCCCCCTTTGGAAGGACACACACGTAGAAATTGGAAAAGAGCCTTATGATGATAATGTGCTTCCCTTCCTTTTTTCCCTTCAGCATTCATCCATCATATGACTGCCTAACATCATTATCACTATCTTCTTATCATTTTACAACAAGCTTCTGGAAGAAATGCATGGTGTCAGCTTGCTTGAAAATAACATTGCTGTGCTTGTTCTGCTGCTCTGCATTAGGGGAGAATTTCGATCGCCAGGCCAGCCTTCGGCGGTCTCTTATTTACACAGACACTCTGGTAAGACGACCGAAGAAAGTCAAAAGGAGAAAGACTATTACAGGCGTCCTTGACAACATACAGAAGGAGCTAGGTATGGCTCATCAGAACTGTATTCTGTTGCCCCTCACTGCTGCTCAGCATTACTATGCTAACCTCATCTGTGCTGCTTATGACATCAATACATTCTGATAGCCGTCGGTGCCCCCAAAGGCCCAGCTTCTTTTCCTGAATGAGGCGTTGGGTATAAACCTTAACAACCCATGCAGATGATTTATTGAATTTTGGTGAGAAGGTGAGAGTAAGAACTTAACTAAAAACTAGTAACGGGGATGATGGACATTTACAGTATGTCATCATCTCCACGTACCTTGAGCATTGGGTATTTCCACAGCTAAATGCACTTTTCATTTAGATCTTAAGTTTTGGTAAATCCAGAAACATACTTTAGGACTTCCAATTATGAATATGGACTCCATTAGTTATACTGCCAACCTTGGTGCCATTTTGTCATCAAAGAAACAGTAGAGTTGTGGGCTGATTAGGAAATACCAGCACGATAGGACGCAGTAATTTATGTCGGACAGTGCCTGCATGGTACTTCCAAGAAGCTTTTTGATTCATAGTTTTCAACCTGTGATAAAACAGAAAACAAACAAAAAAATTTGGCAGTGGGGTGCTAGTGAGGAGGGTTGTTTACTTCATTTTTCACTTAAAAGTTTTGTTTCTGCTTATCTTTATATATACTTTAGAGAATCCTTTCATTCTCGTCTTGCCATCTTCACTTCTCCCTGGTTTTTAACAGCTCATAGGGAATGTCTGCCTGGGGCAGCCCAGCACAACATCCTGGGTGGGGTGCAGGGACTCTGGGGCCGAACTGCTTGGATTTGAGGCCTGGTTTTGCCCCTTCCCTTCTGGGTGGCTCCGAGCTGGCTTCTGCCCTTCTTTGGGTCTACTTCTTCATTCACAGAAGGGGGTTGGTGATGTTACTAGAACCTACCTCATATGGTTGTTTGTGCAGTTAATGAATTTATACAGGTGAAGTACTTGGTGCCTGGTACTAATATAAACATAGTAATTGCTAGTGTAATTATTGTGGAACACGTAGACTACCTATTTTGAGATTTGCCTCTTTCTCTTCTGCCACCTATGGACTTATTTCCTTAGAGTTGCTTTCACCTGATGCTTTTACTTCTATTTGCTATTGAAGGTTGTACTCTAGAAACTCAGCATCATTATTTCTTAATTTGCCAGTTTGTCTTTTGCTTATAGTCTTTTGCCTATTCAGCCTATTAGTGACATACCTGTTACAGCAATTAGAGGTGGCCCTTCAGCTTCCAGGTGCTACAGACCTTGTTTCTGTGTCTTTTAACCCAATATCCCTGCTTGAATGCCTTGTATTAGGGAAGGAAGGCTCACTCTACTTTGCCTGGCATTTTCTTCTTTTCTGCATTCCACTTCTGCAATAGGTATGCTGTGCCTTCCAGACTGTAGCAGCAATGGGACAAGAATAGTAACCCTTTGCCTCTGCTCCAGGTAGCACAGGTGACCCAGATGACAGGCAGGTGCTCATCTTATCCCATGACACAGGGATTTATTAGAAAGGCAGGATTGCATCCACAGGATTTATGAAGTTTGTCTGGTTCATACCCCTGCATCTGCTTCTAGATCTGGGCCAGCCCTCCTGTGTCCCATTCTTTCAGGCTTTTTTTTTTTTTTTCCTCCTTTAGGTTACTGTTAACTAATTGGAGAAACAACATGTATTCATATATTCAGCAGATGCCTAGTAGTTAATTTCTTAATAGCACCCAGGTAACATTTATACTTTAACTGATCTTTTAGAAGATGTGATCTTTTAGAAGAAGGTCTTTTAAAGGAGTGACTTTAAAGACAGGCACTTTGTGAGATAACAAGGTTGATGTTTTGAGGTAGGCTCCATTTTAAGTGGCTTTCCAACCAAAATCAGTAGGTTTGAGATGGCTTTTGCAAAGAGTCCAAAAATAGTTTGACCTAGATAAAGATACATACACACATCAGTGTTCAATATGAGTTATCTATCTATATACTATGTTCTAGAACCTCAGAAATATACACTTTTATAAAATACCTTTATTACTGAAACACACAGTATGGAGCAAAGAATTCAGTTGCCTCTTTGATCTTACTGGATGATCACTAGCTAGTAAGTCCTATCTTCTGTAATTTTAATATTTTTTAAATCAGTGATTGAGTCCCTGGAGCCTACATTCATGTCTCTTTCATATGTAATGTAGAAACACCACTAATGCTGGAGGACAGTAAATAGCTTTCCCCACATCATCTGTGTTGTAACTGTTGCCAGACATCAGACAGGTAATGTCATTGCACAGCCAGTGATAGGACCTGGATCACATTAAAGGTCATGTGAGATAGTTATATCTAAGTTAGAGCTAGTTAAAAAAAAAAAAAGACAATTAGACAATGACTCTAGTTTTATAGACTAGTTGGAAGGATTGGTGGATAGAGTAAGGGAAAATAATATTTGAATATAGAACATATAGTAAAAAAAATAGATCATGCATTTCTTTCACTTATTTTATGACTTCTAGTTGACCTTGCCCCTTCTCCCAATATTTTGTACTTATAAGGTATCTGGTTTGAAAGCTTTGTATTACTTAACTAATGATTATCAAAACAAACACTTCATATTTTGTTTAATAATTACTCTTCTCTGAGTATGAAGCATAGGTCATGAAGCATAGTGTCCACTAGACACTACCAGAGTTACTGGGACTTAGGATCTAAAAAATAATCTAGCCACAAAATCCTTGTAGAATTACAGTTATATTGTGCCTAATTATATGTAGTTTTTACTTCAAAATCCATAAATAGTGGAATCTAGAGACTAGCCAGTATATAATACTTTCAAATCCAGGTGTGATGTTCACTGTTGAATATGTATTTATGGCTTATCATTTGTTCCCTTTCGTTTAAATGAATCAGACAAAATTTCTGATTTTTTCTTTACTCTTACTACCTAATACATAGAAATGTATTTGAACAACCTGTTAAAAGGTTTCATCGTTTAGAATCAGATAAGATTATTTTGTTGGTATATCATCACATTTGGATGCTGAATAGTTTGGATACTCCAGAACTTATGCCCATGCATATTCTCCAAGCAGTAAACGCCTCACTTAAAGGAATCCCATTCTGAATAAGTTTTAATAGTTTGTACTAAGAACGTTACTAGAGACCTGACAAGATTTTTTGAAAGTTGATGTACTAAACCTTAAATAAACTAACCAGTTGACTTTTATCATTGATTGTATTTTTTAAGTTAGGCATCCCTTTGTATTATATAATAAGTTAAAGAAAAAATATATAATTATTTCTTTATATTATATTGTAAAATCAGATAAAAACCCATCAAGATTTTTAGCAGTACCTGAGTGCTGTGTTTGTTTGTACTTCTCTTTTTGTATGTTTTTGCTATTTAACTCTAATCGATATAATATTCATCTGTGTCCTATAATACTGTGACACTTTTTGTACTATAAAAATGTTGGAGCTTTTTGTGAATAGAATATTGGTGGTCCCTATGATAAATGATATATGAGTTGTTTTATACTTAAATCTTTAGAAAACTTTTTTTTTTATAAGAAAGTTGTACTAGGTTGCAGATGGTGAAGAAATGGCTACATCCCCCCTGGAATGATTTCATGTTCAAAAATGTTACCTGAAAGAATTAGGACTTTGTTTATGGCTCTTAAAGACAGTTAAAAAGTCTACCACTGAACCCATGCCAATACTACGATTCTGAAAGAAAAAGATAATAAAATCCATTGTTGAATAGAATAAGGTATCTTAAATATTTGGAAGATACTGGTGCAAACTGATACAGCCACAGAAGTCAACCTCCCACCTTCTAAAATACCAAATGGCAAAAACTCATCTTTTGTTTTCTTTCCTCAAAGTGGGCTTTTCTTCTGTTCCTTCCCTTTTGCCCATTTCTCCTCTTCCTGAGGGAGAACCTTGTGTGTATACGTGTGACTGTGTGAACATGTATGACTGGGTGTGTGTCTTCAGTGAGTGTACTTGGCAGAGGATACGGAGGGGAAATAGATCCTCTTGGCTAAAGGTACAGGTGTAAAAACGATTCTCCATCGTCACGGTGAAGGAAGGGGCCTCACACTTTATTCCTTGCATGATGACATCTGTGTGGTTGATAGAGAACATTACTGCCATGTTAGTAATGACCTTTGCTATTTGGATGAGGAAAAGGCCGTGTGTGTGTCCCACAGTCAGGGACACATGGCAGGCGGTGGCTGAATTCTTTGGGGTAGGGAACCCATCCCTACCACAGCCATCTCTGCCCAGGTTGGCAGCAATGCTGCAGGTGCTCAGCTCACCTTGCCCAGCAGCCCTGTGCTTGAGGTCTTTCCAAGTCCTTGTTGGAAGATAACAATGTAGAGAGAACTATGGTTCTGACACTATTTTTCACAAATTAATGTGTTCTAATGACTACTGTGCATGGGTTGATTTTTTTCTCTTTACACATTGGATTGCCTCTTTCTCTTCTGCCACCTATGGACTTATTTCCTTAGAGTTGCTTTCACCTGATGCTTTTACTTCTATTTGCTATTGAAGGTTGTACTCTAGAAACTCAGCATCATTATTTCTTAATTTGCCAGTTTGTCTTTTGCTTATAGTCTTTTGCCTATTCAGCCTAATAGTGACATACCTGTTACAGCAATTAGAGGTGGCCCTTCAGCTTCCAGGTGCTACAGACCTTGTTTCTGTGTCTTTTAACCCAATATCCCTGCTTGAATGCCTTGTATTAGGGAAGGAAGGCTCACTCTACTTTGCCTGGCATTTTCTTCTTTTCTGCATTCCACTTCTGCAATAGGTATGCTGTGCCTTCCAGACTGTAGCAGCAATGGGACAAGAATAGTAACCCTTTGCCTCTGCTCCAGGTAGCACAGGTGACCCAGATGACAGGCAGGTGCTCATCTTATCCCATGACACAGGGATTTATTAGAAAGGCAGGATTGCATCCATAGGATTTATGAAGTTTGTCTGGTTCATACCCCTGCATCTGCTTCTAGATCTGGGCCAGCCCTCCTGTGTCCCATTCTTTCAGGCTTTTTTTTTTTTTTTCCTCCTTTAGGTTACTGTTAACTAATTGGAGAAACAACATGTATTCATATATTCAGCAGATGCCTAGTAGTTAATTTCTTAATAGCACCCAGGTAACATTTATACTTTAACTGATCTTTTAGAAGATGTGATCTTTTAGAAGAAGGTCTTTTAAAGGAGTGACTTTAAAGACAGGCACTTTGTGAGATAACAAGGTTGATGTTTTGAGGTAGGCTCCATTTTAAGTGGCTTTCCAACCAAAATCAGTAGGTTTGAGATGGCTTTGTGCAAAGAGTCCAAAAATAGTTTGACCTAGATAAAGATACATACACACATCAGTGTTCAATATGAGTTATCTATCTATATACTATGTTCTAGAACCTCAGAAATATACACTTTTATAAAATACCTTTATTACTGAAACACACAGTATGGAGCAAAGAATTCAGTTGCCTCTTTGATCTTACTGGATGATCACTAGCTAGTAAGTCCTATCTTCTGTAATTTTAATATTTTTTAAATCAGTGATTGAGTCCCTGGAGCCTACATTCATGTCTCTTTCATATGTAATGTAGAAACACCACTAATGCTGGAGGACAGTAAATAGCTTTCCCCACATCATCTGTGTTGTAACTGTTGCCAGACATCAGACAGGTGATGTCATTGCACAGCCAGTGATAGGACCTGGATCACATTAAAGGCCATGTGAGATAGTTATATCTAAGTTAGAGCTAGTTAAAAAAAAAAATAAGACAATTAGACAATGGCTCTAGTTTTATAGACTAGTTGGAAGGATTGGTGGATAGAGTAAGGGAAAATAATATTTGAATATAGAACATATAGTAAAAAAAATAGATCATGCATTTCTTTCACTTATTTTATGACTTCTAGTTGACCTTGCCCCTTCTCCCAATATTTTGTACTTATAAGGTATCTGGTTTGAAAGCTTTGTATTACTTAACTAATGATTATCAAAACAAACACTTCATATTTTGTTTAATAATTACTCTTCTCTGAGTATGAGGCATAGGTCATGAAGCATAGTGTCCACTAGACACTACCAGAGTTACTGGGACTTAGGATCTAAAAAATAATCTAGCCACAAAATCCTTGTAGAATTACAGTTATATTGTGCCTAATTATATGTAGTTTTTACTTCAAAATCCATAAATAGTGGAATCTAGAGACTAGCCAGTATATAATACTTTCAAATCCAGGTGTGATGTTCACTGTTGAATATGTATTTATGGCTTATCATTTGTTCCCTTTCGTTTAAATGAATCAGACAAAATTTCTGATTTTTTCTTTACTCTTACTACCTAATACATAGAAATGTATTTGAACAACCTGTTAAAAGGTTTCATCGTTTAGAATCAGATAAGATTATTTTGTTGGTATATCATCACATTTGGATGCTGAATAGTTTGGATACTCCAGAACTTATGCCCATGCATATTCTCCAAGCAGTAAACGCCTCACTTAAAGGAATCCCATTCTGAATAAGTTTTAATAGTTTGTACTAAGAACGTTACTAGAGACCTGACAAGATTTTTTGAAAGTTGATGTACTAAACCTTAAATAAACTAACCAGTTGACTTTTATCATTGATTGTATTTTTTAAGTTAGGCATCCCTTTGTATTATATAATAAGTTAAAGAAAAAATATATAATTATTTCTTTATATTATATTGTAAAATCAGATAAAAACCCATCAAGATTTTTAGCAGTACCTGAGTGCTGTGTTTGTTTGTACTTCTCTTTTTGTATGTTTTTGCTATTTAACTCTAATCGATATAATATTCATCTGTGTCCTATAATACTGTGACACTTTTTGTACTATAAAAATGTTGGAGCTTTTTGTGAATAGAATATTGGTGGTCCCTATGATAAATGATATATGAGTTGTTTTATACTTAAATCTTTAGAAAACTTTTTTTTTTATAAGAAAGTTGTACTAGGTTGCAGATGGTGAAGAAATGGCTACATCCCCCCTGGAATGATTTCATGTTCAAAAATGTTACCTGAAAGAATTAGGACTTTGTTTATGGCTCTTAAAGACAGTTAAAAAGTCTACCACTGAACCCATGCCAATACTACGATTCTGAAAGAAAAAGATAATACAATCCATTGTTGAATAGAATAAGGTATCTTAAATATTTGGAAGATACTGGTGCAAACTGATACAGCCACAGAAGTCAACCTCCCACCTTCTAAAATACCAAATGGCAAAAACTCATCTTTTGTTTTCTTTCCTCAAAGTGGGCTTTTCTTCTGTTCCTTCCCTTTTGCCCATTTCTCCTCTTCCTGAGGGAGAACCTTGTGTGTATACGTGTGACTGTGTGAACATGTATGACTGGGTGTGTGTCTTCAGTGAGTGTACTTGGCAGAGGATACGGAGGGGAAATAGATCCTCTTGGCTAAAGGTACAGGTGTAAAAACGATTCTCCATCGTCATGGTGAAGGAAGGGGCCTCACACTTTATTCCTTGCATGATGACATCTGTGTGGTTGATAGAGAACATTACTGCCATGTTAGTAATGACCTTTGCTATTTGGATGAGGAAAAGGCCGTGTGTGTGTCCCACAGTCAGGGACACATGGCAGGCGGTGGCTGAATTCTTTGGGGTAGGGAACCCATCCCTACCACAGCCATCTCTGCCCAGGTTGGCAGCGATGCTGCAGGTGCTCAGCTCACCTTGCCCAGCAGCCCTGTGCTTGAGGTCTTTCCAAGTCCTTGTTGGAAGATAACAATGTAGAGAGAACTATGGTTCTGACACTATTTTTCACAAATTAATGTGTTCTAATGACTACTGTGCATGGGTTGATTTTTTTCTCTTTACACATTGGGAAAGTTCTTAGCCTGATCATTTTTTTTTTTTTAAGCATCTGCTCCTTCCCAGGTAGCTTGAAATCTATCATCTACACTTAAGGCTTTTTTCTCATCCATCCTGCTTGGTTTGACTTTCCTTGTGATTCTTTTTTTTTTTAAACATAGTACTCTCTGTTTGGTTGGTTGTAAAGCTCCAAGATATGAATAACCCTAACTGGAGGAGCTGTTCACTGGATCAGTTCCTGCTGCTCTTTCCCCACAAGAACGCAACAGATTGCTATTTAATTTTGAATGTCACTGACAGATGATAGCAGCTCAAGATGGATAATGAGATGTTTGAAACACAGATGGGCCTGTAAATCATCTTTTCTTAGGATTTCCTCCTGACATAAAAAATTAATGTAATTAACACCATTTTATACCAATATCCCTCATAAATGGTGTCTCCGTAGCCCTGTCATTGAACCAGTGCATTCATCTGTCTTTGAGGAAGATGGTCACTGCTTGACAGATGATCTGTGCAGTCAGCCAGTGAGTGGAGGGCTACCTTGAAATCTTTACCAAAAGGAGCTTACTTCCCCAGAGCACTCGGCCTTGATCTCAGACGGAGTGCCTGAGAATACCATATGTACCACTTCATCAATAAGAGGATTTGACGTACAAATTAAGAGAAGTACATGAAATTCATAATAAGAGTTTTTATTTTGGGAGCTCTCAGTAACTAAACTCTCACTCAGCTGCCAAAGGAGGCAAAAAAACTAGATCAAGTAGAAAGAAAAGTGGTGTCTTGTTTGTTTTTAAGTATAGCAGAGCCAGAAGTGGGTGAGGGTACAGGGTGATGAACTGAGATACTGAATTTTATTTTAAGGTAACCAGCCTCTTTCTGCCTTCTTTCCAGCATCTGGCATAGGCTGCGATGATGTGGGTGGTCACCCAGTGTACACCCCAGAGCACTACTCTACACTAGGAAGGCTTGACAGCTGTCAGTCACCTGGGCCACGCTCAGCAACCAGGGACTCCAGCTGTCAGACTGAGGAACTGAAAGTCGTACCCCCTTCAATGAGGAGAATCAGGGCGCAAAAGGGACAAGGCATTGCTGCCCAGATGAGCCACTTCCCGGGCTCCTCCGGGAACATGTCTGTGCTGAGCGACTCTGCAGGCATTGTGTTCCCTTCTCGCCTCAACAACGATGCTGGCTTCCACAGTCTCCCACGCTCGGGAACAAGGGCAAACATTCCCCTGGAGCCACGGCTCGGTGCCCTGGGCCCTACAGAAGACTTGGATGGCACTTACCCCTACCAGAGGGATTACCTACAAGTAGATGAAAACTTCGGACATTTAGGAGGAGCCTCAGGTGCTGGAGCACTTTCGAGGCCCAAGTCCCAGGAGCTGAGGCTTTTTGAGAGTGAGAATGTAACAAGCCCAGCGTGTGTGGTTTCTCCTCATGCAACATTCTCCACCAGCATCATCCCAAATGCCACGCTCTCTTCCTCTTCAGAGGTTATTATTATTCACACTGCCCAGAGTTCAGGGCAGCTGGACAGTAAACTTACCAGCTCATCTTCATACCCCAAGATAAAATCCAGAGACCACCTGCTCTCCAGGCATGCTGGTAAAGATGACCATCCGGCTCCTTGTGGTTACTGGAATGAGGGTCACTCCACCATTCTTCCACAAGCCTTAGATTCCCATTCCTCCAATGCAAAGACACTGTTGTCCCTCTGTGATTCGGCTGTACCTTTCAATACCCCAGCAATTCGGGAGAATGGGTCCCAAGCCATAACCTATAACTGTAGAAACAACCTGAGCTTCCCAGTGCACCCTAGGGATGTGGATGGCAAGAGTGAGTCCAGTTATTCAGGAGGCAGGGGGCATGGCAGCACAGAGCCCTGGGAGTACAGTGCCTCAGGAAACGGGCAGGTGTCCCCACCGAAGCCACTTTCGGCAACTCCTGGTCACTCTACACCTGTAGGTAACGTGGGCAGTGGCAGTTTGGACCAAGCATTCAACAAAGATGACACCGGGTTCCTGTATGCAGAGGCCCAGGACGGCTCCTGCACACCTCTGCACACGGACGCTACACCAGGGTCCGGGGATCTGTGCAATAGCAGTGATGGCTTTGGGAACCCCAGGCACAGTGTGGTCAATGTTTTTGATGGAAGAGCGGAGAAGAACCACGGGGACCGGCTAAATTATCATGACAGACCCCTTTCGAGAAACATCTCTTTGAAGAAAGCAAAGAAGCCTCCTCTGCCACCTTCTCGGACAGACTCCCTGCGCAGGATGCCCAAGAAGAGTGTCCAGTCCAACGGGCAGGAGCTCAACGAAAGCCTGATCGCCTCGCTGCAGCACTCGCTGCGGCTGAACCTGCCGGGCAAGGGCGGCAGCTCGCCCTCCCAGAGCCCCTGCAGTGACTTTGAAGAGCCCTGGCTGCCTCGCTCGCGCAGCCAGAGCACAGCCAGTGCGGCGAGCAGCATGACTTCCGCCACCACCCCCAATGTCCACTCGCTGTGTGGGGTCACGCCCTCGCAGAGCGACACCAGCAGCGTCAAGTCTGAGTACACGGACCCGTGGGGCTACTACATTGACTACACCGGCGCGCAGGAAGACCCGCGGAACCCGGGCGGGGGCCCTTCGGCCAGCAATGGGGTGCCTGCTGGCGACGGGCCAGGCGGCCCCGTGCGGGATGTAGCCGGGGCCGCGGTGCCTCCAGGGTCCGGTGGCGCAGTCAAGCCAAAGATCCCATCGCCGGAGAAGTCCCACAGAGTCACGTCTCCATCCAGTGGGTATTCCAGCCAGTCCAACACGCCCACGGCACTCACCCCTGTGCCTGTGTTTTTAAAGTCGGTGTCACCAGTAAATGGGAAGGGGAAGACCAAGCCCAAGGTGCCGGAACGGAAGTCCTCTCTCATATCCTCCGTGTCTGTGTCCTCGTCCTCCACGTCCCTCTCGTCCAGCACCTCCACGGAGGGAAGCGGAACAGTGAGGAAGCTGGATTCCGGGCTGGCCTCCCCCCTTGCCGCCCCTCCTCGCCCTTCTCTGCCATCTCTGTGTCCTGCTGACAAGCCTCCACTTCTTCCTCCTCCCCCGCCTGTAGCCGACTCCCCCGAGGCTTCCCCTCTGCCTCACTTTCCCTCTTTCCCACCTCCGCCACCAGAAGTGCTTCCTCCCTTCGGCCCCGCCCCCACCACGTGCTATACCCCACCCCCCACAGCACTTAGCCCCCTTCTTCTGGCTTCATCGGCTCCCCGGCCCCCACCTTCCTTAGCATCCTCCGTTCCTCCGCCTGCCCCACCTCTGGACCCCAAATTGATGAAGGACACCAGGCCGTCTTTCAAAAAATCTGGCCAGCCGGGATCCTCCCCAGAGGCCTGTGGGCAGCCTTCCAGCAAGGAGGGCGGTGGGCCCCCCGTGCCTCTAGTAACCGCGGAGGTGTTGCAGATGGTGCAGTTGAGGCCCGTGAGGAAGAACTCAGGAACCCAGGAAGCACTGTTACATGAACAAGTATCTCAGGAAAAACTAACTCTAGTCGCTCCCCAGTATCCTTTAAAGCCATCTGCTCTCCTGAAGTCCCGAAATAGCATAAATGAAATGGAGAGTGAAAGCCAGCCTGCCTCCGTGACAAGCTCGCTCCCATCTCCTGCCAAGAGTGTGAGTCAGGGTCACCAGGATAGTGCAGCCGAGCGTGGCCTCTGGAGCTGCAGCCCGGGCAGCGCCGGCCGGTCAGAGGCTGGGCCCGGGCCCAGGAGCGCGCCTCGGCAGGAGCCCGCCGGTCCTGCGCCCAGCAGGAAGCCGCCCCCCATCTCCAAGAAGCCCAAACTGTTCCTTGTGGTGCCACCTCCGCAGAGCAATCTCCCAGCGGAGCCCACTGGGCACGTGAGCGAAGTGGTGCCCAACCCTACGAGGGGAGAGGCGCAAGAGAGTTGTGCAGCCGGGGCTGGCTCTCATGAGCCCAATGCAGGCAGCTCAGTTCCAGAAGGAGGAGCTGCACTGTCCACGTCCCCCAGCTGCGTGGGAGCCAGTGTCCGCATGGTGCAGCCCCCTGCCTTGCCATCCCCCAGGAAGGAGCCAGGCCCCGAGAACAGTGCGGACGGCGGAGGCAACGTGGAGGGCGGCCCATCTCTACAGGACCCAGGGCGTGAGTCTGGTTTTTCTCTCTTACTCCCCTCCGACCATATGCAGCTGAGGCAAGCGGCTGGTGCATGTTCACGTTCAAACAGTATGTGGGCTTCCCGTGCTGCCTCACACTTGGGTTACCAACGTGGCATTTTATGAAATTAAAAAATATCTACATCTAAGAGTAGAGCTTACAGAAGGTCAGAAAACAGAGGGGTGGGGTGGTCTGCAACAGGCTGGGTATTGAGTAGCAATGACTAATCTCCCTGCAGGAGAGCTGGAAAGAAATGTTGCAACAAAATTTAAGAGAGCTCCAGGAGTTCTCTACTTTAACAGAAAAGAAGGAGCTCTTACCATTTCTCCTGTCTTTGTAAAATATCAAACTGCAGACCTCACCCGCCTCCCTCTGGTCTCTCCCAGTGGGGAAGGGCAAGGGAGGTACTCAGGAGCGAGACCAGAGGGAGGCATTCAGGAGCTTCGCTGTCGACTGAAATCCAAGTCACTTGCGAGTCTCGGGCTTGTCTGCTTGTTCCTCTGTAGCTGGAGTGCGGGAGACAAACAGAGCCGGGTCTTCCGAAGAGGCTTGTGACTTCCTTAAGGAGGAAGAGAGCGATGAGGTGATGACCCCCAGTAGGCCCCGGACCACAGAAGACCTTTTTGCAGCTATTCACAGGTATCCCAGACTCCTTATTTTAATCGACTTGATGATTACCTCCTTTGCAAATGGTTCCTCAATTTATTTTTCTTCCTTGAGGTTTCTTCTGTCACCCAGTTAGGATTCATTAACTTGATTGTATTTCTATATTTTATTTCCTTTGATTCCTAATTTGCATTTTACTTAGTTGCACTGATAGTTGTGATGATGTCAGGGACAGGTTCAGTGCAGTGCCTTCTGCTCAGCGCTGCTCTTGCTGGCAAGACCTGCAGTCTGTCAATCATATGACAGAATATTTACAAGAACTGGATTTAGAGCAGCGGATGGTCTAGTCCACAGTGAAGAAGGCTGTGTTCTGTGGATGTAAGATGCACAGACTAGCTCTCTAGAACTTTATCTTTTCTAAGGGTGTTTTATTTTTATTGTTATTTTCATTTTAGAGAAAAAACAGGATTTTCTAATGCAGTTTTTTGGACTGTGTAAATGTCTCAAAACAAGAGTACAATCTTGTTACAGCAGGAGCAGGAAGAATGAAATGTTTGTTAGTGTATACTACTAGTGCCATCTACTGGCATCAGAAATTTAGGGCTTAAAAAATGTAAATGTTTAAAAATAACTGCCTGAACTGTTTGCCTGTGATCACCTTGAAGAATGAATATGATTTATTACCAAAGTTTTACTTACAGCCTTATTTTTCTTGCTATAAACAGCCAAGTGTTCCCACAACAGTGTCATTATAAAAATGACATATGTGTGAGTACTTTAAACCATAATGCTATATAAACCCTTTGCTTTCTTCTAGACTTCTTTACCATGGTATTTTTCAGATAACTCTTATGAATGCGTTTGTGCTGCCATGGCCTTATATTGCTCTGAGTCAAGGTCCCTTTTTTCCTCCTGAAACAAAACATGCTATAAAATCATTGGATTTTCTATGTAAATAACCTTGTGTCAAGACTGTTCTTCCAGTTCTTGGAATCTAACTGAAAAGACTACCACATGAGATGAAAAGCATAGTGCCGTCCCTTCCTGAACTTTCACTTGCAATATATACATATCTAACTTGGCAGGAAAAAACTTAACTGGTTAATTAAGTTGTTTGTGAAGAATTATGTTCTTCACCTCTTGGCTCAAGTATTGGCATAATATCCCAAAAGATCCTAAAGACTGCCGTTTTAACATTGTCTGACTGGTTTCTTTGATCTCATTAGAAGTACGAAGTTAGCAAACTGTTTAGAAATTATTTCTCAACACCAGGAAATGAACAGTGTTGCATCCTTTGAACCAACTTTAGCAGCATTTCTAGAAATTTACACAGATGTTTCTAACTCTAACCATGCTTGACACATAATAAGCACTCAATAAATATTTTCTGAATTAAATGAAGCCAATTGGAATTTAACTCCTAGGAAATTCTTTCATTCCTTCAAGACTCGATGTCTTTCATTTAGTATGGAATGCACTGGGTTGCTAACTATGCAGGCATATTTATTTGCAATAGTCCACAAAGATGTGTTGCCTGGTTACTCTGTGTACTAAATACTTAGTCTCACTCAGTGAGAAAGCAACTGTTGTAGGGCCAAATTTGTATGTGCATTTCCTAAAAATATGCCAAAGGTCTCTTCTGTATTTTCTTTTGGCAACCTTAAGGTGCTGAAGAATCTGTGGTTTCTCCTACTAGAGAGTGACATTTACTGCAGATGTAGAAATCAGCCAGCCTATATTGTTCTGTGTACACATAATAAAAATAAAGGCCAAGTAGGGTATGGGGTTGCAAAAAGGGATCAAGAACACCTGCTAATTTTTGTGTTAGTGTTGGTAACGTATTAGCAGACATAATAAAAATCCAACTAAAGTCTATGATTTTTAAGGTTTGTTTTATATCTTTTAGCACCTAATAATCTAGAAAAAAGAGTATCTAAATTGAAGCACAGCTTTCAAATTTTATGGTACAAATTAATTCACTTCAGATATGAAGCCAGATGGAAAATGTGGAACACCAGTTGAGGTGTGAAATTTTTATATTTATTGAAGTAATTAGCTTTTAAGCTAGTGTTAACTGTTTAAGCACTTTTTATAGCCATCTTCTTGAGAAATACACACATACACACCATACACATATGGCAATGCATATATGCATAGTATTCATAGGTGTAGATTTAACTCTCATCTGAGAGGGCTGCTACTCTTGAGAAACAACAATACTTTCATAAATGCCCATCTTGTCTTTTAATTCTAAGTCTACAGTTAAAGGCCATTGCTCTAAACAAGTATAGCTGTGGCTTCTGTGGACCTCTGCACACCCTCACCATTTAAAAACACAAAATAAAAAGTGATGCCACAAGCCAATTCCTACAAGAATGAGATGAATAGAGCTGCTTTTGAGGAGCAACTTCTGTAAGTGCAAGGTCAAGGTAGAACTCCATCAGATCCTAGTTCTTGCATTAAGCCATGTGACTTCATGCTATAGATTTTGGTTACCTTCTCTGGTCAAACCAAACCATCTGAAGTCTTTCCCAGCTCCCAGATGCTGAGGTGTTATTTCTGTGGTTTTTGTCAGTTGGTCATTTACTTATTTCAGAGCAGTGCTCTTGGTGACAGCAGAGCAGGGACATTAAACCAAAGTTTCATAGACCAGGCTCTGCAGTCCCAAAGGGACGGTACCATGTCAGCTCTGGCCACCCTTCAGACTATTATAGGGTCCTTACCACTTCCTGTCTTCTGCTTTGGTGGCTTCTTTTTGGCCAGAAGCATGGACAGGACCCTGGGAGCTGAGCCCAGGGTAGCCACTGTGGGCCCATCCTCTCTGGTGCCTGGCGGTGCAGGCTGTGTGAAGACAGCACTGAGGCCTGACCTGGTGGCAGGAAGAAAGAATTATATTTGTCTAAATGACAAGTACCTGCTCTGTGCCTGACACCTTGTGACTCTTACTGGATTCATCTTTACTGATAAGCTACAAGCTATCTACTGTCATTACTCTTTCTAGACAGGAAACAGGATCAGAAACATTAACTTGCCCCAGGTCACAGAGCAAGGACATGTTCTATGGGATTTAACCCAGATCTCTGTGATTTAGCCCAGGGCTTCTTTCTGTCATTGAATCCTCACAACCTGGTGAGGTTAGTATCATCATCCCCATTTTACAGGTACGAAAACCAAAGTGCAGCATAGGTGAGTGACTGGTCGAAACGAAGCTCACACAGCTAAAAGCTGGTAATGCCCAGACTCAAGTCTCAATCTGTATGTACAGGTAGCATCTGCTCAAACTTTCTCTGTTGCACATTCTAGAATTTGACAGCATTTATTTTATTAAATGTACTAAGTGTCCTTAAGGCAATTCCCCTACACTTAGCTGAGAGACATTATGGAGGGACCAGCCAAGGGCCAGATGGCTCATCTATTTATTATCTCTGATTCACTCACAGTAGAAAACCTGTTGGACTGGGAGGCTATTAGAGACTGAGGACAAGAAACACCCCCAGGGAACATTTCCCTTTCCCTGAAGCCCCTCCTCTTTCACACTCCACCCACATTGCTCAGATTTTTCTTGATCAGTTAGCGGTTCTCTAAAGTTAGTCAGGCAACAGGATCTGTTGCAGAAGGTTCACCTTTGTTTTCTGGAAAACTGGATCCCTAGAAGTTGACATATGAGCTAAGGAAGAATCGTTTTATCTCAAACTCTGGAGTGTCTTAGAATGTAGAGTTGTAGAATCGTTCTAAAACCTAAGGTGGGGACCTGCTTCAGGATAGAGGATATTTGAGGAGTTGGCTTACTTATCAGGCCTGTTCAGGCTAGCACCAAACATGAAAAGGAAGAGCAGAAAGTGGGGTCCTTGCAGGGAAATTCACTCAGGACCAGTTCAATATAAAAGAGTTAAACAAAAAATGGCAATTATTAGAAACTTTGAAACAGTCCTATCCAACATTATTAATATGATGTCTGAGGTTTGTTTCAAAATAATCCAGTGAGGGTGGAGGTGAGAAAAGGATGGTCATAAGTTAATAGTTATCATAGTGGGGTCATGGGCATACATAGTAGTAAAATGAATTATTTTCGCACGGGTGATTTTCCATAGTAAAAACAAGTGTTTTACAGTAACCCTTAATAAATAGTGACCTGAATACTCAGTAAGAGAAGCTGGGCGGTTGTGACTGACATCCTGTTGCCTGTTAGGAGTTAACCTTTATCTTAATGTTACTAAATTTTAGATCCAAGAGGAAAGTCCTTGGCCGGAAAGATTCAGATGACGATCACTCCCAAAACCATTCTCCCTCCCCGCCAGTGACGCCTACTGGTGCTGCTCCCAGCCTGGCCTCCCTGAAGCAAGTGGGATCGATTCAGAGAAGCGTCCGTAAGAGCAGCACCAGCAGCGACAACTTCAAAGCTTTGCTGCTGAAAAAGGGGAGTCGGTCAGACACCAGTGCCCGCATGTCAGCTGCTGAGATGCTCAAGAACACAGACCCTAGATTCCAGAGGTCAAGGTCAGAGCCTGCACCAGACACTCCTGAGAGCCCGTCCAGCTGTTCCCCAAGCAAGAACAGAAGGGCCCAGGAGGAGTGGGCCAGGAACGAAGGCTTGATGCCTCGGAGTCTGTCCTTTTCTGGCCCCAGGTACGGCCGCAGCCGAACGCCGCCCTCTGCAGCCAGTAGCAGATACAGCCTGCGGAACCGGATCCACAGCAGCCCCATGACCGTCATCTCGGAAGGCGAAGGAGAAGCCCTGGAGCCCGTAGACAACAAGGCTCGCCGGGCCCTGGGTGCTGCCAGGGGAGGCTCACTGGATGGACTGGTGGGGGATGAAACGGACAAAGGCAGCCTGCTCTGTGGAGGGGCTCCCACCGCCTTGCTACAGGCACCGGCTCCCAGCCCTGCAGATGGGATGGCCAGTGCACAGGGCAGGGGTCCATCGGAACAGAGCGGAGGTCCTCCAAGAGGAGAGAGCTAGGGGCAAGACTGCATTTCCCCAGTGACATGGGGGAGCTGCGCCACATTTCGCTCTAGAAAGCCTGACAGGTACCCTTTGCTGCCTTGCCCATGGATCCCACCCAGCGTTTGTGCTGCGGCCCCAGGCACTGCCAGCCCTGCAGTGGAAGGGGGGAGGGTTACTGAGGACTCACTTGGCACTTGCCCTGTGGCTTAAAAGCAAGTAGAAGCTTAACTTCTGAAAGTGCTTCCTAGGGAAGACTTTTTTTTTTTCTTTGCTAAATGCTGGGTTATGTGTGGAGGGGTGGATGTGTGTGTGTGTTTTGAATGCTTCCTGTGTTAAAAAAATACAAACACACACATACAACATGTACAGAAATAGGAGAAAGAGAGTTAAGCTAGGTTGAGTAATGGAATCTTCTGGTCTAGTCGGTAATTGCTTTGAAGTGTCATGTTTATGGAAGTTAGTGAGCTCCAGAAGAAGGGACAAGACCATTACTCCTGAGAAAGGTAGTAGGTTTGCTAGTTCTGAATGTGCAGAACGCATGGTATATGCACAAGTGTGCTGTTGAGGTGAGCCCTGTTGTGCTTATCCCAAAAACCTGGGAAAGGGCTAAGTGATTGGTTCAGGTACTTTTTTCTGGGGAAAAAAGGCTTTGTTTCTTTTTTGTAAAAATGACAAACGTGGAAGTGGCAACGCTGTAACTTGGAGCCTGCTGCTGTGCAGCCACACACACACACACACAAACTATTAGCCTGATTTTTAGAAATATGGGTAATTTTGTAATGAACTTCCTCCTGAGTAGCGGCTGAGACCTTCTTTGAGAATTGGAATGATGGAGCACACATTCAGAGAGGGTAGGAGAGAGGAGAGAAGAGGTGTTGAGTGATACACTGCTGGAATTTGTTTCCTACTTGTTAAATAAAATTATTTTTCAGAACTAAATTTGAAAACTTGCACTACAGAACTGTGGGTGGGGCTTTTCCTTCTACACCTGTTCTTACCAGAGCTTAAATTTCCATTTGGCAATTTCTTATCACCAGAAATGTTAACATTTGCTAACTTTTGGATATCCATTTGGTTTCACCAAAGAAAAAGTTACAGCTACTTTTCCTTGAACTGCCTGCAGTATCATGTCCTCATCTAGAAAGGTTTATCAAAATCTAGTATATATAATCTTACTTTGAAGAAAATGCTGATTAGCTCTCATTGGTCAAAAAAATCGACTAAAAAATGGCAGGGTTTGGCTATTACTTGGCCCTGGGACATGAGTTTTTAGATTAAAAGGATTTTTGCATCATTTGGTTTGTGAGTTTTTATATTTTTTATAAATAATTGAATTGGCTAATTAGCTTCTAATCTTCTCCAGTTAGAATTTTAACACTTTTAGACTTGGGGAAAAAAAGTGTGTAAAGTATTTATTTTTATGTCATATTCTTGTGGCTCCTTCCCCCGCTCCCCTCCAACTGCTGTGTACTTAAGATTCCCTTATTTGTGGTTAAATAAAATCAGAGTCTTGTCTTCTTCATTAGAAGGACCTTAGATGACAGTACCAGGATTCTTGGCCTTAACTACAGTGCAGCTGCCAATTCTCAGCTTTTTGGGTATGAAAATATCTTCTAAAAGTTGGACTGCCAGGTCAAATCATCCTAAGGCTTATACAATAAAACCTTAAACAGCCATTTTAGATGCATCTTTGAGACAGAAACATACCTCATGAATTGAGGCTCCTTCTGTTCTCTGAAGAAAATGAAACACTTCTTTTGACACAACAAGAAATCAAGACCTGACATTTGGCCAAAGGCAAAAAAACTTTTTCCCATTTGGAGCAATTGTCTACTCCATGGGGCACAAGTATCTTTGCTTCTAAATTTTAGAGAAGTATTGTTGTTTTGAATATGAAATCACTTAGTTACCTAAACAAAGATTAGAATGTATGTGGATACCACAAAACTTTAACTTAATATATAAATCATGTATGTTGAAGGTAAGATAAACAACATCAAAACTAATTATAAAACTATTTTGAAAACCCCCATTTCTTTTAAGGAAAAATATATCAGGTTTTTAAAATTTGCTTTGAATAAAACAGTTATAAAGTAAATGCTTGAACCTTATTTCTTTTTATTTGTACATGCATTTTTGAATAATGAGGTCTTCCGGTACAGAACTGTGGAGTGCTTTGCTGGATACAAACAGAACAGCAGTGAAGACCAGATGGTGCCTGTGGGAGGTGGGGACCCAACAGAGAGGAGAGAGAACATCACAGACACTGTGGATGGTGCCATTTAAAAGGACATATGGGACAACAACTCTCAATAATACATCCTATGGACTTTTGAAAACATATTACTAGTGTGTTGATGGAAAGCTCAGATGGGTGACACATGGAGAGATTGAGAACTTAAGAGGCATGGCTGTCATGTAGGGAAACGGGAACCTAGACTCATTCCTGAAATGCACAGCATCTTTGGCTTTGCTCCTTGTTTCCTCAGTGGGGGCTCGCTACCCTTAACAGACCATATCCTATTTTAACACTCAGTGAGGATAGACTTGTTAGCCCTTCCTGAAGCCCTGAGACTTGAAGTGCCAGACAGTCACAGACAGAAACGCCTGGCTAAATGATTTCCATCCTGTTTTTCCTAAGAGTTGAGAGGAAAGCCAAGGACCATTTGGTCTGTTGGTTGGAAGCAGCCTCAACTTCAGTCTGACTTCTGTCCTCCTGTTGCTGAAGAATGTTGATGGAAACCACCCCTGCTCATGTAAGGGTGAGAGTATATTCTTGGAGAATCATGACAAGCAAAGAAAAGGAGGCATTTCTGTATCATGATCTTATTCCCCACCTGCCAACCCCACAAGCAACTCCATGGTAGGCATCCTGGGAGGACAGGGTGGCTTTACTGGCTCTGCCTTAATGTGTTTTCAGCACAATTATCAAATACGAGCAATTATGTTTCTGAGATTCCATCATGAAATGAGCACAGCAGGCTAATTTACTTTGGCAAATATTAGGATATTGTTGGAGAAGACGGTGTTTCAGATAAAACATGGGCCTGGTTCTTGAGGCCCATTTGAATCCTCAGTGGTCTGTTTTCCTGTAATGAGCCATTCTGTTACTGAATATAGTTTCTTTCAATGAGCTGCTCTAAACTGCTTCCCACACAGGCCAGCCTTCCTTCACAGAACAAGGTCTGGCAAATCTGTAGTCATTTGTTCAGCAATAAAAAAAAGGCCCTTTATTAAATGCTTCTCATGTGCTCAGTAAGGATGAGGGAGTCCTAGAACAGAAAAAGGTGGGTGAGTATCAGGAAGGGGCTTCAGACCTAGTGAGAAAGACCCAAACAACTAACTGTCCCACAAAACCCATCTGTGCGAACACAGAGGAAAAGGAAGAACACTCCAGACCCCACCACACACCCTGCTGGCCCCCCACCCAACATGCTTTCTTGCCATCAGAACGCCTGAAATTGGTTCAGGCTGGCAATGCTCCTGACATAAACATGGTACCTTGCAGCCTCCTCTGTAGTCAGGAGGGCACAGTGTGGGCCAATGAGACACGAACAGTAGTCTGAGACTCTTCAGGAAAGGCGCTTTCCTTACTTAGGTGCCAGCACCCCCTCTTGTGGCTTCCTCCCTCCTGTTTCTCCCTGAAGGGATGGGAGGCTGGAGGAGGAACAAGATTCTTGCGACCTTTACGCATGAATGAGGATGGGAGTCACTTGTTGTGGAAGTTGGAGAGAAAGGAGCCTGGTCCACTGATCGCATCAGAGCCACCACACCAGCCCCGGGCTGTCTACCTCCAGAGCCATTGGGTAAGTCAGGTCTCACGCACTTCACAGTGGAGTCATATGGTTCTCAGAAGATGTTATTGTTTCTGACTAGGTAGACGGGGGAGGGATTGGCTGTGGTGAATCCAAGCTAAGACTAAGGATGAGGATGACTTCATCAAGCAGGGGAAGTTGGCAAAGGAAGGACGCTCTGGATGGAGGGAATAGCAGGGGCAAGGCACGAGGCGGAGTGTTAAGGGGAAGCCATGTAACTGAAAGGATGTTTCTAGAAAAGCAGTGGGTCATGACACTGGAAAGGTCATCTCAGGCAACAATGTAGAGGACCTGGGATGTCCTTCCAAGGAATCTGGGTTTTGTTTTGTAGTATTGGGAAACAGTGAAGGTTTTTTTTAAGAAGGGGAATGATGTGATCTGGTTTAGTTCTATATCTACACTCTCCCTTAGTGACTATATCTAATCCCGTAGCATTAGCAAAATCTATATATACTGGTAGCTCCTGAATATTTCCTGTCCTTACTTCCTCTATGAACTCCAGATGAGTATACCAACTGCTTACTCAAAATCTGCATTTAGAGGTTTTTAAATTTACTATCTCCAAATCATACTTACCCCCACATCCTACTTTATCAGTTAATGGCATTACTAGTTACACAAGGGCTTGGGCCCCAAACCTGGGCTCATCCTGTCATCTCTGTCCTTTCCACCCCACATCTGACCCTGAAGCAAGTCATGTCAGGCATACTGCCAGAGGATTTCACAAATCCAGGCATTTCTCACCATTTCTGCTGCTACTCACAGGCCCAAACTATTACGTCCCGACCCAAAGCCTCCCAACTGGTCTTATTACGAAGCAACTTCGGCTGCTCTCAGTTCACATTACAAAATAAGCTGTTAAAAATAATTCATAGCAGTCCCCTGAATGAAATCCTCCAGAACTGAATATTATAATTGGAATAGGACTCTAACTCCTTGCTGTCATCTGCAAGGCCTTTAAGAACTATTGCTGTTCCCTCACTCAAATGATTGGGCCTCATTCTCCTTTCTGTTTCTTGACAGAAGCTGCTTCCCACCTCAGAGCCTCCACTTTAACTATTGGGAAGAAAAGTTCCTGTATTTCGATACCGGTTTAGGCTCCTCAGGCAGTAGGCAGAGACAGTCAGGAATGCCACACGTTTCACTGGAGTGTAACACCTTTGAGAAGGGAGGAAGGCGGATGAGGAGGGGGAACGATCAGACTGTGGTGCTGGCCTTGCAAGTCTGCCGGCAGGGCCACTAGGGAAAATGGCGCATTGCAGGAGTCCTGCACTGGGCAGAAATGGCCAGGTCTTTGACTACTTCTTTGCTTGGCCTTGGCAAGTGACGCTCTGAGAAAAGCGTGCCCTCAAGTCCCACAGTGTGGTGAAATCACTGGCCACCAGCCTTTCCTGCCTAGAGAATAGCGTGACCTCAGCTTGAAAGCTAAGGCAGACCCGATGAAGTCAGCAGTTAGAGGCTGTCAGCTGACCACCGTTCTTGAGGCTGGATGGCCAGTCATTTCTTGAAAGGGGATCTAAGTGGCATATCTCCATGTCTGCCACAGTCCACCCCTTGCTGCATGTGGATCTGCTTCCCCATGAACATACAGGGCCCTGGTGGACTTCTTTCCTGAGGAGGAATTTGGAAAGAGGAGTTGGTGGGGCCAACCACAGCGCTGGGCTCAGGCCACATCTGGTACTCAGCAGTCCCCCATCCACTCCTTTCCCTTTCAACTGCCACCTCTGCTGGGCTTGGTGGCTTTCCACTGGTCTGGCCCAAGCTCTCATTCCTGAGGGCTCTAAGACCCTGAGAGCCGAACTCTTCTCAGACCTGGGCTGCTGCCCGTGTCCACTCACAGTTACAATTGGGCAAGGAGAACAAGGGTGTCCCAGGGGGTCCTCTGAGTCCCAAGTGTCATGTGACAGCAGGTTCACCTCCCTCTGACCTTCAGGGTCAATTACCTCTGACAAGGTGGTGGCTCTTCTTGCCTGCTATCCCTGGACACAAGGAGTCCAAAGTCCCAAGTGGCAACAGTAGGTTGCAGTTCAGCGGGACCCTTGCTGGGTTGCCTAGGGTGGATACACACCTTTGAGAACAAGTACCTCTGGGTTCACAGAGCCCAGAATCATGGTGTAAGAAGTCCTATGTCCCTCAGTGGTTCAAAGGGAGTGATAGTAAGTGGGGTCACTTGTTACCACGCCTTGGTTCCCAGATCCATGTATCCTTCCTACTGTGGATCTAGCACTATGTAGGCTCTCTGATTTAGTAAGGATACTGTGTCCAGGAGACAGTGCCCTATCTTGGCAGGGTATGGCTTCCAACCCGGCTAGCCTCTTCTGGGTGGTGCACCATGTGAGAGGACCGGTGGATCCTGCAACCATAAGCTAACTCTCCCTGATTGGGTGTTATGATGTGTAGAGCAGTAAATCCATGCCAGGAGAGCAGAGATTTTGTGAGGCCCTCGATTGTGGTGCCTTCAAGGCCCTACAAGCAGGAAGGGAAACTGCATACCAAAGATAGGTGTCTACCTTTGTGCAAATCAACTGGTCCTTCCTGGAAAGAATGGGCCCAATACAGTCACTTTGGCATCAAACGACCAGTTGGTCTTTTCACAGCCTCACCAGTGTCTCAGCACTGGTATCTCTTGCTGCAAGTTAGACGATCAGAGTCAGCAGTATTTAGGGTAGCCTTGTAACTGGGAATCCCTGTCATTGGGAGTCCGTGCATGGCCTCTGTCTTTGCCACCACTGCCACTTTGTTGGTGTGCACGTTGTACCAGCACTGGCGGGCACCAGCAGACGCTAACAGCAACAGGCTATATCATTTTGTCTACTTGGTATCTTAGCGCCTCTTCTGGGCTGGGTGCTTTCTGGTGGGCATCAATAGGTGATACACAGGTTTTCATGTTCTCTGCCCACTCCCGTATGTCCATACACCTGCCTCTATGCCCAGACCTCCTTGTCTCAATTATCCCTTCTTTTTCTTTCCAAACTCCTGACCAGTTGGCCAGCCCATTTGCCACTGCTGTGATTCCATATGTATTTCACCTTTCCTTCCTTACAAAGTGAATGACCAGGTCCATTACCAAAGGTTCTGTCCTTTTTTGCAGGAAGATTGCAGCTATTTTTTTTCTTGTAGCTGTCTTTCAAAGTCATCCCTGAAAGGATGTAATGTGGTTGCTGTCCACTTTCAGCTTGCACCCGCATAGTAAGCCAGCTCTTTGGTAAACCAAGTTCAAGCTTTTTCCTCTTCATTCAGCTGATAGTACAGGCCCTCCAAACAACCACAGGGTGGGGAAGAG